TTTAGTTTTTTTGTTGTTTTTCTGTTTTGGTGGAGTGTTGCGTTGCGTTTACGGTGTTTTTTTTCAGTGTTGTGCGTTGAATTAATAAAACCGTTCCAGTTTGGCATTGCTGGTTTTAATTGTGTTTTCCACGCTAAGCTGCTTTCCGTTCAGTTGTGACTGCCTGTTTTTATTATATTTCTAGATTGACAGCTCAAGTCCATCCCATTCCCCAGTTGGTTAAATTGAGCACCAAAAGTGAAGTTGAGATTAAAAATAAAAAAATACGTCCTTTCAGTTGCAATGCTGACATTCACGGACTTTTAGTTCCAGTTTTTGGCTCTCAATTATTATCCCCGCTCCTTAGTGTGATTTTTAGTCAGGTTTTGCTGGCAAAAAAAAACGGAGCAAAATGATTTTTTTCGTAAGATTGTTAATTTATCACAGAAATTTAGAAACGAGGGGTTTGATTATGAAATAGATTCAAGCATGCGGTAATATAGATTTTTTTTCAGCGTAATTTGAGCCAGGATCTAGGATTTAGAATCTAGCATTTTCTCTAAAAATGTGAAATCTAAGTTTTCTCTAAAAAATTTTGTCGATTTTTTTTTGAACCAATTAGATAAATCTCTTCCTACACCCTTTCTTGCCATAAGTATCTTCAAGTTTGTGAAACTTGCGTTTTCGGCGCGCGCTTTTTTCTCAACATTAGTATATATTGGTTAGCAATGAAAAATAATTTAAGAAAATGATAGAAAAAATTTTTAGGATTGGTTAACCAAAAAGAGGTGACATAAACAACAAAGAGATGACTCTTTTAGTGGCGAGCGGGTCAAAAATCTAGTCCTTCTTTGCCAATTTTAGTCCGTTTGTTTGATAAAAAATGGTTTCAATACAGGTTTTATAGGTTTTAATATTGACGAATTGGACAAAAACTGATAATTTTTATCAATTAAGTGAAGACAAGCGTGTCTTGATGACGTCAATCCTTTTTGTCTCTCCATGCGAATGTGTGCTTTTGTGTGTGACGACTGAAGTTTTAGCTCTTCCCCTTTAAACTGACACATCCCTTCCAATGTCTCAACAGGGAAACAATAATTGGATTTACGAGGAGAGAAACAACAGATAAAACAGTCAAATTTGCACTTCTACTTTGACATGTGTATAAATTGACCTTTGAACAAAATTGAATGTCAAAATGAGTGCCTTTTATTAAAATTGCTTATGTTGGAAAGCGGTTCTTTTAAATAACTTATTATCAGTTTTGCAGGATGTCATTTTTGAAATTGTGGTTGTCAGTGTCAAGACAGCCTGCTGAAATATAAGCATCTTTTTTGAACCATGAAATAAAAGAGGATTAAAGCTTGTATCACTTTATTGTAACAAAACTGACCACGATTATCTGTAGTTCTTTTTTTCGAGCATGGGTTGAACTTTTTTCGAACATATTACAGCCATATATGAACAGATTCTAATTCATCTGTGCATGAATGTTTATGATTGAAAACTATTATGATTTTGGAAGTGGATCACCATGATGAATATAAAAGAGCATCTAAGTGACGTGGTTGTGTTCGAACTGAACAAAGTAGAATAGAACATAGTTTTGCTCTTGTGCTGGTTGGTGTTGTATGTTAATCGAACAGTAGTAGGTGGCGTCTGCCTCGCTCAGTCTTACCGGTCCTCGCATGATCCACATCTGTCAATCAGAAGTCATAGTGCCACATAATTGCACCATCTGATTAATTAATGCGCATTTGCTAGTCATAAATCGAACATTGTTGTACAATTCTGGCTATAGTAGTGTACATTTGTATTATAATACAAACTCTGCGACGGGTCTTTTGTTTTGTCGGATTTAATTGTGACGTCTTTTCTATTCACAGCACCTGTTGTGTAATCTGCATTGTGCTGTTTTGATTGCCAGTTTGGACACCGAATTGACCAGGCGCAGCATGGAGCAATTCGATGATCTGGAAAATTAAAATAAATTCAGATTCTGGTTCCTATTTTTCTACGTTTTTTGACGGCATTTTCCCTTTCTATAAGCGTTTTTAATCAAATCGATCTTAAATTTAATCTTTTCGTGAATTCTTGAATTTGTTCTAGACTGAAAACAAGAAACACTTTTCTAAGTTTTTTTTTGAAAGAGACAACATCACATTCATAAAAAAACTTTCTCAAAACATTCATAAAAACATGTTTTTTTTTGCTGAAAAATTTCAATTTTTGGATTTTTTTGTTTGCACGAATAATTTTTTTATAAGACCTAATCGGTCTAAATTAGACTAAAACTAAAAAGTGTCGAACCTAATTTTCTTCAAACTGGGACAAATTTTTCAAATGCTCGAATTACGGCTGTAAGGGCATGATATGATATACTATTATGATTTTAATCGTCCGAACAACAATATAGATTTTCAGGATAACTCAGTTTGAGACGAATCACTCTCAAAAGTTCGCTTGTCTCACGAAAAAAGACTGTTGCGTCTCAGATTAGTTTAGCAGGAACAGATTAAAATTTAGCTTGATAAACAAAACGGTGCAGTTTGTTCTGTGAAGCCGATCCAATAGTTTAAAATTGGGTACTTCTTTGCTCGGTTTGTTTAAATTGTATTTTTTAAAATTTAAAATATCAAATAAACTGCCGTTTAACCAAGTTTAACTAGTATTCTCTGAAATAAAACTCTTCGATGAAATTTTTTGTTAAATTTTGATTCAGTAGTTGTGTAATTTTAATTCAAGTCACAATCGAACCGTTTAAGTGTGTTATTAATGCACTGTAGTAAGCCTTTCTGAAGTCCTCTTTTTCAGATTCAATTTAATCCATTTTAGACAAAATGTGAACTTTAAGATTTAATTTGCTTAGATCAGCATAATTTGAATGTCAAATGTTCCGGCCACTGAAAGTGAAGAGGAAATTTGTCTTCTGCTGTTTCGGTTTTTAAATTTTAAAACTATTCCGCAAAATAGGTTACCATGAATGATCATCAGAATAAATCGAGTGACATATCCATATTATTTTCAAGCCCTTTTATTCGTGATTCGAACGACATATAAAAATTTTCAAACAGTTCTCTCAGTGTCGTGAAAAACATTTTGAATTTTTTGAGCCTAATTTCCAGCGAGTTAAGAGCGAAAAGCATATATTAAGCAATGACATGTTTTTTTAGCTTAACATAACTGTTTTAAAGTTTCATTTGGTACTTTCCCAGCACGAAAACTTTTTAGATCTTAAAAGCAAATTAATTTGTTTGGAAAAGTTTTGTTATTTACCCGTATTGCAATCGGGTACTAGACTTTTTTCCGTAAATAATTTTGTCCACAGGACTCATCTGGACTCGTTGTACCTTGGACTTCAAATTTCGAAGTGTCTCCTGCACATTTAGCCTCGAGGTAACAAATACGCCTGGGACAGCAAAAGTCTTGGGTGTGAATCTGACTAGGACCTGTTTTTTTTTAAACGGTAAATGTTCCGTTCAAAAAAATTTTGCCTTATTATTTGTCTGCTTGTTTTGTCGGCTTAGTTGCCACATCTAAGAAATTTGTTTTGCTTTAAACAATTTTCAATGTAGATTCTTCAAGTGGTTTAGCATTTCAAAAATCCGGCCGAAGTGAAATTTGTTTATTACACTGGTTGTAATTTTAGTAACTTGATTTGTCGAATTTTTTTTCTTCATTTTTTTTTTTATTGGGTTAATAAGTTTCAACTTAAGTTTATCGACCTAGTGGCCTCTTGTTGCGTCGTTCGGGGAAAAATTTCTTGTGTGCGTGCGTGTGCTCAGAGGGGAAAAGTGACATAAAGCTTTTTAAATTATTTTAGATTTTTTTTTGGCATGAAAGGTTTCTGCTCAGTTTTTTTGGCTCTGTTACCGCTTGGAAGTTATAAATTCAAATTCACTCAACCGTTTGGCGTAGATGTGACACAATTGCTTCAGACCGCTTTTTTATTGACAATTTTTTGTTGACAAAAATGATTTTTTGATTTTTTTTTCCGTGTGATTTCAATCATGTTTGTATCGCAAGTGGTGCGAAGCTCAGCTTCGCATCTGTGTCTATTTTATTATGAATTGTAAAATTAATTGTAATTTACTGAAATTGAATGTGGCACGTTTCGCCCCACACAGATTTCGCTCCTCTCAAATTTAATGGCACATTTTGTTCCTTTCATTTTTTGTATTCTTTTTCTGAATAGTTAATGCCATGAATGTTTATATGAATTTTTATGTAGTTTATGTTTTTCTAAACGTTTATGTTATTATATAGTAGTTATGATGTATGTTTTTTTTAAATGGTTTTGTAGTCCAATTTCTTTTCTACTATTTTTTATCGGAGAACAAGATTATTTTTGCTTTTTGGATACTTCTAATAGTTTTGTACTTGCTCAAAGACTCTCTGTGTTGCTGACTTTTCTGCCCTATTAAAGTAATACTTAATGTTGTACTTATGTAATGAGGCGAAGTGACATGGTAGAATAGTGTTTTTTGGTGACACCAAATTTACAGAAGGTGAGTAGTGGTTCCACTGACAGGTGAAGTGACATTTAGACGATCTGAACAAAAACAAGACTCTCTCGACTCGTTTGGAGAGACTAAGCCAACAAAAACTTACCACGCATTCGTTTGCTATTCACTCTGTAATTCTAAAGCAACAAGCTCTGCCCTGGGCTTTGTTGATTTCACAGTCCGAATATGCTTGAAAATTGTCAAAGAATGTTTGTCATTTTTACAGCTAGACTGACATGTCAGCTTGCTAAGTGAACTGGTGGAAATAAAGTCAAATAGCTGAAGAATCAAAACGCCGAAATAGTACGAAATTGAGTATTTAGATGTTGTAGTGGTTTATCAGTTCAGACAATATTTTTGGAATTTCTCAGTGGAATTTTCATGTTCCAGTGAGTCCATTAACCAAGCCTCTAGAGCTTCGTCTCCTTTTTTTATGACCTGGATGTACCATGCTGAACTTTGACCTTCAACTTATTAAAGTTCAATGTTTTCACTGAATAAGTTGAATGTCAAAGTTCAGTATGGGACATTAATGTTGAATCTACGGTTTGGCGGGTTTGACTTGATTTTCTGCTAACTTATTGGGTGGTCAATGGTATAGCAAGTTAGAATGTTGTGAGATTTGTTCTTGTGTGGCACAGGAGCACTTTGCGGGATCCATGTCCTAAATGGGATCCCAGTTGGAGTCCGGAGAGCCAGAAGTAGACACAGATTGACTAACGAGGGAATCACGCTGCGAATGCTTTACAGTTGCAACTTAGTTCCATGTGGCAGAAACAAAAACAATCACATTTTCAGTAATTATTCAAGTTTTACTTTTGGAAATTTTTGCAGCTCGAAGTTACAAGCTGTCTTTAAGATTAAAGCAATGAAGATTATGAATCTTCATTGCTTTAATCTTTAAGACAGCTTGTAACTTCAAGCTGAAAAAATTTTCATTGAACTTTTTTAATTTCTTTTTCGGTCAATTTTATAGCAGTGATCAACGAGGGGGGTTGTAAAATTAGAATCTGAAGTATCTGTATATCATCGGAAATTCCAAAGGAAGCGTATTTTGTCGAAGAGCTCCAACGTAATTTTTTTGCTAAGTTCAGAGCATTATTCTGTTTTTCTCCGATTAATCTTTTCTTGATTTGAAAAAAGTGATTGTATGAGCGCACGTCGACAATTCGTTCGGCCGTCCACCTGTGCTGAGTATGGAACTAGACAGTGACTGACTTAAGTGATTGGTTCTTAAATTGGGGACTGTATCAATCATCGCCGCTGGAGACCCACAGTCGAAACCATCTCCAACCTGCCAATTCAAAAGTCCTCTCTGATTGGCTGAAACGACCGGTAGAAGCAAAACTCGTTTGGTTTTGTTTCGTTTGCAGTAATGGTTAAAGTTGGACATACTGACTATTTATGAGTTTCAGCTGTAATTTGGCCATAGTTGGTGAAGTGATGTATGTGATTGACGTATCGGCGCTGCGGTGTTCTGTTGCGTTTATGCTACAAGCGAAGTGGTAATTTGACGTGATTCGAATTGATTTGATGCGATGGTGTTGCTGCGAGTTATGCTCAATTTGGCCAGGTAATTTTTTGGATAATCGATGAGTACCACACCGCTGTAAATCATTCATCGCTAATTAACAATTGGCATCTACAAGACATCTATCTGTTGTGTAGCTCAAATATCAATAAGTGTACAACCGGACTGGCTTTAACAATATAGACCACTTGTGTCAGACTAAGATTTGAAAATATTAAGTCGGTTGTAAATTCGTCAACGTCGTCAACAAAATATCACCACTGGCGCTTCGATGTTAGAAGACTAACACAAACAAAAGTCAAATCATCTCACAAAAAGACGCACACATTTCATTTAAGATTTTATATTCGAATTGTTAGCTGAAGCGAACGTAAAATTATTAATGGGCGGAGAATTAATAGGCGAAAAGTTAAACTATTAATCTACGCTTTGCTTTGGTTTGTTTGGTTCATTAAAAAAATTTGTGACATTTCGAAATATTCAATTCGGCAGTTTTGTAATTTTGTCAACTTATTTATCAAAATTTGTGCCGATCCTGGCGTCATTATAATTGGTGAAGATTCACGTCAATTAAAATATTAACATAATCGAGTGCTGAAAATTGACAGTACCTGCTGGTAAATTTGGTAAATAGATTATTGTTTGCCGAGTGCTAGAACTACCAGCTTCTACGCTTCATTTTATATCGTAATCTAGACACGAGAAGTGCCTAAATATTATATCAATTCATTAGCGAATGTTTCGCCTGTTTGTTGCACAATTTTTAGTCTAAAGACGTTTGTTTTCCTTTCTGTAACTACTTGGCCCATTATTACTTCATAGATTGGAAAATTATTTTTCAAGATTTTGAGTGAAAATTGAGATTAAGCGAGAGCTTGAGGAAAACATACGCACGAGATAAAACTTAAAATAGTTGGTTGCTCCTCCTGTTCGCATCTTTTCCTAATTGATACCAAATTTTGCATCTCATCTTTAAACGTTACTTTTGTCTCAGTTCGCTTTGGCGATATACTAACGGTGGTAAAATACGGACTGAAAACAAAAAGAGCAACATATTGTCTAAAAATTGCACGCCATTATTCCATTCCGTTTCAAATCGAATTTTGAAGGCTGGCTTTCAAGTTTCAAAATTCACGCCCAAGTTAACTGATTACTGGTTTACTTCTTCATCTGCAGCAGCGTCGCTTCTTTTTAAATCCATCTCGGCAGCTCCTAGTTTATACTGTGATGTCATCTTAAAACATTAGTTGTGTGAGGATCGCCGAATTCGCTAGCGAGATTCCTGCTGCTGCCTTCAGCTATCAACCAACCGTCTTCATCAATACTATTCCTAGTTCCCTTTCCATCTTTCTTTCTTTTTACCTTTTCCTTTATCCCGTATCTGCCCTGCCTAGTCTTTGTAATACAGCACAGCTTAGCACAGTGCTATACCGAGCAAAAAAATATCCTTTTTTTGTCTACTGTGTTCGTTGCCTGTAAAAATTAGTTGTGCGTTCATTTCGTTGTAGTTTTTCAAACCTCTCGACCACACATCTCATCTAGTGTAGTCGAATTTTTGCTCATTATTTTGTCCCTCCCGCTCAACCCGTTGGGGGAATTTTGCTCCTCTCTTCCGTCGTCATTCCTTTCTGTGCTGTTGCTTGCTTAGCTCAGCTCCAACTCAGTTCTATTCCTCACTTTTTATCCTTTGGGGATTGTCCTATAGCGATCGAGCTTCTTTTCACACAGTCTTTTCTCGGCCTGTGATTGGCTCCGTCGACCAAGGAGGTTGGACCGAAAGTGCACTTAGTAGTATTGCATTTTAAACTGCTGTTCTGTTCTGTTGCGTGGCGGTCGCATTTTAGTTTCCCTCCCGTGGAATTATTGGAGAATATCTATAGAACATTTGTAATATTTGCCTGTTTTATCCATGCAGTAGGCGGCGATTGTTATTTCATTTCAATTTTTGCTCCGCCGCCATATAGTAGTGCCTTGCCTGTGCTCTGCTTCCGTAGCTCTATCTCTCAGTTGCCGCTCTTAAATCACCACAACTGACAGCTCTCTTCCTCAATAATTCTAAATTCCCCCACCACCCCCACTGCATTTCACCAAAATATATCCCCCGTCAATCGGGTCTCAAATTTACTCTTCAGTTTTCTTCATTGCAAAAAACCAAAGAGATCATCCAAGTAATTAGTCAACAATCTTCAAAAATTACCATAAACAGTATCGAACTTTCAATAAACAAAATCTGACGGCATTACCTGACCATCTATACAAGACTATCTATATTTGATTTCCAAGAACTTTCGTCAATTTTGAAAACATTTTTGTCAGCTTAACCACAAATCCTATCACACATTTTGTTATCTTTCGAACTTATGATTACAACTTCTTTACCGCTAGGGAAAATTAACACTGAAACCAAATATCGACTAAATCGCAATCGCAAGTTCACTGACAACCGGAAATTCATTATCGACAAATTCACAAATCATCATTTGGAAAAATATAGCATTTCATTTTATTTACTAGCCCCTAAAAAGAAAGTCATTTTTACTTTGATTCGAGTTACCTCCTAAATTGTTAATTTAACATCTTTGTTCAATTTTCCTGCTTTTTTTAAACGGTAGAAAAATTGCGCTTTGTTTAATTTTAGGCATTTTGAGGCAACGAAAATAATTGATATTGTTCTCTTTTGTATTTTGCTCTGCTCAGTTTGAGTTTGTGGATATTCAAAGCTACTTTAAAACAGGCTAGCATCCTCACAAATCCATTAGCTGAAGGACTCAAATATTCTTTCCTCTTTCCTCGCTCGCTTTTGTCGCTAATTGCGAGAAAAAAATATAGTCGAAATATCCACATCTCTTCTCCCTAGCTGAAAGCAAAAACGTTGCCGTGCCTTTACTTAACTGTTACCGCAAATTGGGGCTTTTATCAAAAATTGCCGTTTTAAAACTGCATCAAGTAATAAGCATTATTCTATTATCAATTCTACATCCTTTCCCGACAGTAGCCTGATTAATTTCGATTATTCACTCAGAATTTTAAACAAGGTTTTTGCAATTGTTGGAAATCAAAAATGACTATGAGCCAGAAAAGTTTGATTATTTTCCTCGTTGTTTGCAACCTTTTTGGCGAAGTTTTTTCCGCCGGAAATGGAAAAGGAAACCAGTGTGAAGAAATAACAGTTCCGATGTGTAAGCAAATCGGATACAACGCCACTATCTTTCCAAATGAGTTGGAACACAATACCCAAAACGAAGCAGGACTGGAGATTCACCAGTTTTGGCCACTGGTTGAAATCGGATGTTCCGACCAGCTGAGGTTTTTTCTCTGTTCAAAATACGTTCCGATATGTCTGCCTAATTTCTCCAAAACGCTTCAAGCGTGTCGCAAAGTGTGTGAAGTTGCAAGAGCTGGATGCGAACCGGTTATGCAGCATTACGGCTTCGAATGGCCAGAGCGATTCAACTGCGAAACACTCATCACAAAAGAGCAGTCGCAGTTACCAGAGTACAGAGAGAAGAATATAATGTGCATGCAAGACGACCAAATGGACAAGGAAACAGAGGTCAACCCGATGCCCGTTCCCAAGGGCCAGACGACCGCTCCTGGGTACGACTCGGACGATCCGAAGAGACCAGAAGTGCTTGTTGAGGAAGCGATCTCAGAATGCTGCTCTTGCAATCAGCCATTCCAGAAACTAACTTCATCGTCACCTTACTTCTCAATGAATGTATCTACAGGACATTTGAAAAATTGCGCAATGTCCTGCAAAAGTCCTCATTTTGACGAAAACGAGAAGAAGTTCACGCCGATTTGGCTCGGAATCTGGTCCTGCCTGTGCTTTGTCTCAACGTCAGTGATGGTGCTGACGTTTTTGATTGACATGTCGCGGTTCAAGTACCCAGAACGACCCATAATTTTCCTTTCCGGATGTTACATGTTCGTGGCGATTGGCTTCATGATCCGACTGATTGCCGGTCACGAGGCGGTGGCCTGTAATGATGACACAATCCGATACGACATCAGTGGGAAGCCCCCTCTGTGCATCACTGTGTTCATTCTTACATACTTCTTCAGCATGGCCAGTTCAATTTGGTGGGTGATCCTTTCATTGACTTGGTTCCTGGCAGCTGGTTTGAAATGGGGCAATGAAGCGATCGCAAACTACTCGTGGTGGTTCCATCTAGTCGGCTGGGTCATCCCGACTATCCAAACTGCTGTCGTTATTTTCACGAACAGCGTCGATGGAGATCCGGTGTCTGGAATCTGCTACGTCGGCAACCAGAGCATCGAAAACCTGAGGTATTACGTGTTGGGCCCTTTGATGGTGTATCTGTTCACTGGAACCATGTTTCTCATGGCCGGATTCGTATCACTATTCAAGATCAGACATGTTATCAAGCGAGGAGGAACTAATACAGAGAAACTGGAGAAGCTGATGATGCGCATCGGAGTCTTCTCATTTTTCTACACAGTCCCCGCCGCTGTCGTCATTGCGTGTTACTTCTACGAGCACCGGTTCCGTGTTGAGTGGGAAAGTCGTCTCACGTGTCCTTGTCTGAAACGTCAATACTCTCAACCCGAGTACTTCGTGTTCGTGTGCAAGTACTTCATGCTGCTTGTCGTTGGAATCACGTCGGGTTTCTGGATTTGGACAAACAAGACAATCAACTCGTGGCTCAACTTCGGGTCCAGAATAGTTGGAGGGCGCTCTAACAACGTCCCGAAAGTCCCGATGACACACGTTTAATTGGGATCAACGGAAATCGAACCCAAACTCAATGGTGCAAAACTGGAAATTCTTGATTTTTGAAGGAAGCAGACTAGAAGCGAGCAATTTTAATCTTTAGAAGAAACAGCACCAGGTCAAGAAAAGAGGCTGTTAAAAGCCAGAAGAGCTGATCTATCTGTTGATGTTAGATGAGCAGACTTGAACTTTTACTAAATAGCTGCTTAATAGTTACTGTTTATTTTCGTTCCTACGTTCATTTCATTTCAATCGACACAAAACAGGGTTTTATACGTCTGGAAGCATCAAATCCACGTGACCTTTGAATGACCAGAGCAGAAATATCAATCATAAACCAGAAATTAACTCGACACACAGGGTACCAAATTATGTCAAACCTCCAGATCCCAAATATCTGGTGTCAATCTATAATTTGTCAGTGTCCAATACGAACTGATCAGGAATCAAACTCTATCTTAAACCATGTATTCGTCTCATATTTTTAACTTGTGATCTGATGCTAATAAAGAGTAGAGTTTATATAGCAATTATTTGGTAGAAAATCTAGTTTTTAAAATTATTTTGTGGGGATCCTCGAATTTTTTTTGGTGATATCTACTTTTCAGTGACCTTTCTCCTGACCTTTATGGTTGACAATGACAACCTTATTTGTTTGACCAATCTGATGAGTCTTAAGTCTCTCGTTACAATTCCCTAATTTTTTAAAAGTAGAATAATACTGCCGATTTGTGACGAGACAACAGAGACTCATTTTAATTATAGTTAATTAAAATTGATGATTATTTTCCTTGCACTTCGCATAGTTAAATGATGATATTTTGCATATTTCATATATTCATTTTTTATTTTTCTCACTTTTGACAATGAAATTTAATCTTCACAAATTATTCAAATCAGTTTGCACTAATCAAACCATGATAGATTTTTGATGTGAAAAAAAAAAACAACTCGAACTGAGCGTATCCACACTTAAAGTTTCTGAGCAGCGATGCGTGCGTTTTGATCCCCAGACGTGAGCCATGACCTTGAAATGACCCCTGAGTAGTTGAAAGTGATTGAAAGCGTTCAACATGAAGATAGTTTTCTCCCGTCAAAATTTCAAGTCTGTGATTTGCGCATAATCTGTTGAACACATTCTTTGTTACACATTATTGGCGAAGGTTTACCCGTAGCAAATACGCTTCAAGATTTGGTACACTTTTGAGCCCATAAATGTAAATTTGTAGATGTAGATTTGCACATCGATCACCACAGCTGACAGCTAATAAGCAGCAGAACAGCTCAAAATTAGCAGCAGAAGATAACGCTAAAATATTAGTGATGCAAAATGACGGATGCATATCATATCATAAGCTTATAAAACAACGTTGTTAAACTTGATTGGCTAGGCTATTTGGGTTTAAGAGAAAACTCAAATGATAGTTGAAATTAATTTCGAAAAAGCGTATGATATCCGTATGAGTTTTAGCAGTCAAAACTCAATAGGAAGCTAAAATTCCCAAAAAATTTTAGCTAAATTTTTAAATGACAAACAGAAAGCTGACGCGGAATGCGCTTGGGGCTCAAAGTGAATTATTTTAATGAGATGTTCTTTTTAGCCTTCAAACTCATTGATTAAGTAGAATATAATACGTTGATGTTCTGTAATTTTCTCTTCACAAGGCTTGGGATGAATTCCGAATGTGCGCAAACCTATATTTTTTAACATTATATATTTACAGCTATACCATATGCCGACATGCTTTAAATGTCTGTGGTCTATCTGATCAGATATCTGAACTGTTCGTCCATCTCTCTTCATGAGTGGTGTACGCTAAAAAAAGTTTTGAAAAATAGGACTTTGAAATATCGATTTTTTCGTTAAGTTTTTCTAAAAGTTATCTGAAGTGTCGTTTAAATGTAGCTGGATGTAACAAGAATTCTATGCAGGTTCCCAAGTTGAATAAAAAGGCGTTGCTTTGAATGAAATTCTTTAGTCCAGCAAAGAAAATAATGTTTGAGCTAATTTGAATCAAAATATTTCAAGCATTTCAAATTTGAGTTCGTTGAATGTTTCAATCATTCAAGATAGCTGCATGATACGCGAAGTTTTTTAGGGCTATTTTTGTTTTATGGGGTTTCCTTTAAAATATGGAGTGTGGTTGTTTTGTTAAGTTTTTAATTTTTTCATACTGCGGAAAAGGTTTTCATTTCATTTTCATTTTTTAAAGATGACTGTCTGTTTTTTATAGAATTATCATAAAAAAAATTGTATCCAAACGATATTTAATTACTGAGTTTTTATAGTATTTTACTAATACAAATCGTAATTGTATAAAGAGAACCTTTAAGCCAGCATGGCCCGTTTTCAGCTGTCTTCTAAGATCCAATAGACCGTTCTCAAAGCATGCCCAATAAAATGGTATTTCCTGATATGTAAATATTCAAAAAATATGGATTAAAACTATTCAGTTGAATCCATTTTAAAAAACTGGTTCAGGCGGAAAAAGATTTATAACAATATTAAACCTTTTTCGAAATTTAGGTCTGATTAACTCTCTGAGTTTAATTATATTTAGCTAGCTTTTGATTTGGTTTTCTCTTCTATATTTTGTGTTTAACCCTGGTTCAGATATGGCCTATCTCCATGGATCAACCGTGCATTCTTGTCGGATAAGTTTGCGGGCTAATTTTAAATTTTCGTTCGCAAAAAATTTTCTTCAGTATATAATATTTTTCAGGTTATTTTTTTATAAGTTATCTGAATTTCAATTCCCTTTCTAACAATTGGTTTTGTCGGTGTTTGCATAAACTAAAACTGTATATTGGATGATTGGTTGCACATAAGTTTTATAAGCAACTATTAATCGCTGTCCAGATAAAAACTTTCGCTATTGGAAAAAAAAAACACTCAACAGAACTGTAAAACCTTTATTTTTAACCTGATCAATATGCTGATGAAAACTCAATTTGCTGTCGAGATGAATTCCAAGATATTTAAAACCTGAAACATTTAATTTTGGGTACCCTTAAAAAATTGACAGTTTCTTCCGGTTTTGGTGTCCGACAGTGGCCCATGGTCAATTTCTTCTTTCATAATCAATCATTTACTTCTAGCAAAGCCGATCGATATGTGGGAGAAATATAGTCTATTGTGTTGGTGGACTTCAGAACAGTGTCATCTGCATACAAAATTACCCCTGTGTTATCCCGACTATTTGAAAATCGTTCAAGTAAAGAAAGAATAAAAGTGGGCAAAGAATAGATACTTTAGGTACTTCAAGATATATTGGTTGAAGTTTTTTTAAAGAGTTTGCCTCGATGTACTGATACCGAGTGTTAAGGGAAGAATCCAAAATTCATAGTACAGGCCCTCTGAATCCCATTAGTTTCAATTTCATTAGGAAGTAAGAGTGATCATTCGTATCAAAAGCTTTCGTGAGGTTTAAAAACAGATTTTTGTTTGTTAGCGACGTTGAATTCTTTTTTTTTTAAATGTAATGATGTCAACAGTGCTCAATTTTGGTCTGAAACCAAACGAAGTGTTTCGGATTATTTTCAATTTGTCTACATATGATTAGGCTCGTCTGAAACGAAGTAAGTCTATAGTCTGAAGGGTCATCGTTTTTGTCCTTCCTGGAAAATTGGTACCTTTTTTTCATTTGTAAACAGTTTGGATTGACTCACAGGATTTTAATTTTCAAAAAGCCTATTTTAAGAAGCAGTTTGGACATCAATTACAGTCCAAATAAACTTTTTACATCGTTCGAAAGCAAATGATCATGTAACTCTTCGTGAAATTATTAGATTTTGTTTCCACTTTATTCCAGGTCTTAAAATACTATTTTACTGTAAGCAATATTTTTCAAAGGGCGTGAATTCGTGATTGCCATTTGAAACGATCGCTTGAGAAATATTCATTGGTTAGTTTGATATTTTTTTAAACTAGACCGTTTTTTTTTTAGAATTTTACGCCGTTAGAAATTCTTACTGTATACATTATAAACTTGCATTTTCAGACCTGGAATAAAGATAAAGCCCTTGTACCATGAAACTTCTATAGAAGGTTATTCTGACAATTGACTCTAGGTTGATGTAATTTTTTGAATAATTATTTGTCAAGTGTCGACTTTGAGATGTCTGAAACTGAGTTTATATGGTCCACCAATGTAAGTGCAACTTTCTACTATGTTTAGCTTAAAAATACAAATCAAAAAATGCTTTGAGTTTTCATTTAGTGCATACTTGGGCCAACTACTCTTGACTTTGAAGAAGCTCTTGACCTAATTTGAGTTGCTTGCTAAAATTGAATTTGAATGGTAAATTACAACTCGCGAGTTGTTTATGTTTCAATTCGGTAATATTGCATAAGTCTTGCGCTGAAACGTCCAATACTTATCGCCGTTATTACTCTGTCGCCGTAATTGAACTAAGTTTCTGGGTATCAGAGGCAAAGCTCTTTCTTAGCCCAATATTTTCGTAACTTTATCAGCTTTAAGAAACAGATCACCCCTATTTATCTACTAGAACCAATATCTACTGAACCATGATGGATCATAAAATATCTAATGACTTCGCCATCGGTATCTTCCTGTTAGTCTCAATCCGAGATCTCTCGGCTTCGTCCGAATTTAAAGGCAAAAAGTGCGAGGAGATCACTATTCGAATGAGCATAGGATTCGGAAACAATCACACCAGTTTTGCGTCTAACTTCAAGCAGACAAAAGCGTAGCTCGTGAAAAAAAAACTATTTTGCTTCAATTTTGTTTTCGTCGAAGTGAATATTTTTTAGATGTCAATTTAGTGCATTAAATCTTCTGGCTCAAAAAGCTACGCGGAGTGTTACTTAGCTAATCAAATTATTTTTTATCTAGTGTTTGTGTTATTTGTTGTCTTTGATTTTTTAGCCTAGGCGAGTTTTTTTTGTTTTTTTTTGTGTTTTACTTTTCGAAATGGGCGTAAGAAATGACTTTCTAGTGTAGTGATGCTATGTGTCTAGCATGTCTGCTTGAACTTGACTAGTTATCCAAATCGATTGGAAAACAAAAAGCAAGATGAGGCCGGTATAGATATGAACCAATTTGGGCCATTGCTGGATGTGGGTTGTGCTGATCACTTCAACCTTTTCCTCTGCTCTTTATATACTCCATTATGTCTTCCAGATTCAGACGAGGTTTTTCTTATTGATAAATAATTATCCGAAAATTATCACTTCGCATATTTTTCCTCGAGGGCGCGGGGTTTTCCTCGAAAAAATTATAGAGCAGAGACTGTTTTATGATAGGAGTGTATTTTCAAAACTGTAGATTTTAAAGCATATTAGAGCTTTAGTTTTTATCTGATTTACAATTTGATAGCTGAAAATACTCTTGATTAACACTCATTATTAACTAATTAACTAACATAGTTCATTTTGTGCAGATAATTCTTCCGTGCCGCGAATTGTGCGAACAATCGAGGGAGGGATGTGATCCTGTGATGAAAAGATACGGATTCTCATGGCCTGTGAAGTTTGATTGTTCCCAGTTTGAAACATACGAGAATAGCGCCAAACGACCAGAAAAAAATTCATCTTGTTTGAGTTCCGAATACTACCATTTCGAATGAAGGACTATGTTTACCACTCCACGACCACGTTGATCATGCTCTGAATCAGGAATAAAATGAATTACCTCAAATTGGTTCCAGAAACATGGAAATATGCTGTTGAAAATGTAGAAATTAAAAAAAAAATCCTTTAATTTAAATAGAAATAACTTTTTTAAAATCTGGTTTTTCAAACATTTCAGCTAAATTATTTTAATTTGAAAAATTGTCAGATAATGTATAAATATCACCCCCATTTAAATTTGAATGATAAATCTTGTAGCGAGCTACATTTTTTACAGATTGA